GTATGCAATTAGATTTATCAGCTAGCTTTGCGGCATTTTGGGTTATAGATAATTTTATGGTAGAAGGGCCGTCCTTGTTGAATGTTCTGAGCATCCAGGGATGAAGCGTATAGTTTTCGAATTCTTGTTTATCGGAAGTTCTTAGCAAATGTGAGCTGAAGTTCCGGCCTAGATCTCATCGACTACTAAATCAGGCTTCTAAACAATGCCGTGGGCGTCATACAACAAACAATGTCGATTCGGGAGTGGCTACTGGGCCTAAGGAACCTACAATAATTATCTAAATACGTTTTTTTTAAGCCTCGGTGATAAATATACAATGTTTTCTGTGAATGATGGGGCAACAGATAAGTAGAGGACAAAAAGATTGAGAAGTGAAAGCAGAAGAGAAAAAGCATACCATGAGACTCGAATTCAGCAGGCAGTTCAATGGGCTTGAGGTCTAAGAAAGTTGAGCCAACAAGAAGAAGGTGTGAAGGTAATCTAACGTAGACGTGTGTATGTGGCGGACCGGAAACAAGGCTAACGGTGAGGTTGGATATCGTTTTGCAGGTCCGGACGTAAGAAAGGATACGTAAAGCCGGCCGTGGCATCGGTAGACCGGTGCAATTTTCAGTCGCGCCACAACCGAAAGCACTCGAGCCGGAAGGATCACGGAAGTACCAAGTAGATGAGAGAATAAAGGGATAATGAAGTTGGTGAGGAATGCCGCAGAAGGGAAGTGTGCGATCGCAGCCAAACTCCGTAGTGGATAGCAACTCTGAGAGACCAGATCCACCAGAACTCTCTTAGAAAAGGAATGAAAAAATAATCATTCTTCATGACCTAAATGCCCAACTGGGTATGAATATTATTTTCAAAGTAAAAAGGAGAGTGCTTTCTATGACTAGATGGTAGATAAATAAAATAATATAAATAAGCAAATAGTCTGTGGTGACTAATCTCTAATTCACTTTAGTGAAAAGATTTTGGAGCTGTACTACCAATTTTGTCAAACCAGTTCGCTTATGAGCATAAAAGATACCAAACTATCTCTAGATCCATAGGGAAATGGCTGATTATAACCTTTCTTAAGGTTTCGTCTATCTCAGATAAGTGATCCTCGAAAAACACAATTTCATTTTCCATTCATAAACTCGGCATGTAAACTCATTTTTTCAAGTAATTATTCTTTCACAGCGCGCGATCAAGCGTGTCATGAAACTTTTCTTTCACAGCCTTGGACACATTGGAAAAGTCATGCACAAAAGCTTATCGTAGATACGAAGACCAAGATGGCATGGTCTTTGGTGTAATCGTAGTTTCCTTTAGCTGTATAGTGTTGGTTTGATCTCGCATTCGTAACTTAGTCGGGGCGACAGAGAGACCTTGTACGTATTTCTATATCCTATATCATAACATTCAACAGTGGATCGGTGACTTGGTACATTCCCAGACGTATCGTTGGTATTGACAGTGAAAGACGCCCTCATTAGCATAGATTTACAACTAATCAAAGTGATA